TCTTTCCTTTCCCTTCTCTCCTCCTTTATTCACACAGACAGTCTCTGGGGTGCCCCTCTACCCCTCCCCCCTAGTACTAATTCTTTCCATTCTTCCCTTACTGTTTCCTTACCCTCCTCTCCTCCTTCCTTTCCCCCTCTTTGTTTTCCTCTTTTCGCTCCTATTCTACCATCTGTTTCTATTTTCCAACCAATTCACACATCAGTCTTCCTTCCACAATAACGTAGGTTCATGGACGAGCCCACCATGAAACATATGCATGTGACTGAATACTTATTTATGGGCCCACCATCTAATATCCTATGACATTGTTCTTGGCACATCCCTCATATGGTGACCTTTTTATAACCAGTAACCACATATGTTTAATGCTTTTAGTAATGACATACCTTTATAGAATGGATGTACCTCAGCGTTGATAATTCTATTGTTTTTATATGTGAATTTTCCCTCTATGTCCCTATACTGGGGCATTGTACCTACTGCTATTGTATGCTTTTTATTTTCAGTAAAACTCTTGCAAAAAACAAACAAACCCAATTGATCTTTTTAGTTTAAACCCAGTAAAATGCATTTCAGGTGCATCAAAACAAAAGGTTTGCTGATGCTTGGGCTGGACATGTCTCTAATGGCATTATCAGATGTTCTGATGAGATTTTTCTTATGAACATTCATACAAAATCTACCAGTGTATGGCCAGCTTTAAAGTTTGTTTTCTTTTAAGTATCCCCAGCCTGAGCAGAAAAGGCTGTTCCCTGCTGGCATGCTGAAGATAAGGACCCTTACTCTCTGTGTGGAAGAAGAGGTCAGACATGTTCCCTGCTGACTCCCCACTGGAGCTCTACAATCAGGAGGGAGCATGAGCTTTGTTGATTAGAGCGTGCTAGCTCTGACTTGGCAGGGGGTGATTTGGATCCTCACACAGAGAACCGGGGTTCTTCTCTACAGCTTGCTGGCAGGGGACAAGCTTTTCTACTTAAGTTGTGGCTGCTTTGTAATGAGCCATGGCAAGCCTTTTTGTTTTGATGCACCTGAAATTAATTTAGCTGATTTACACTGAAAGTTGGAACTACAAGCTCTCTCCAAGTGTAAACCTAATAATTGTGGAACAATAGTGGTGAAAGAAAAACTTGGGCCCCTTTCACACAAGCTGATAGAAGAGAGTCCGTGCATGGATTCCCCTCCTGATCAGAGCAGTGCAGAGCAGATGTCACTGCTGTAACATCTGTGTCTGTACAGACCGGACCCCATGCAAGTCTATTGGGAATCATATGTAAACGGACATGTGTTCGTTTACATCACATTACCCACAATCTGGCCCGGTGAAATGGAACATTATTCTGTTTGCTTTACCGGACCCGGCTGGAAGCGGTGGTAACCGGGTGTTAACGGACGCCCGTCCGTTTACACACGGCTGTCCATAGACTTGCATTGGCCATCTGATTGGAGTGGCCATGTGAAAGGGGCCTTATTTTACAGATTTATAAGAAAACAAGGATTTTATGTAAGATTGTTTTTTGTGTTTTGGGATACCTTTTACTGACTACACCAGATGCATAAATTAACCCCAGCATTACCGTTACCTAATAGAACCAACATCAGTTTATAGCTTTAATGCAGCTGGTGGAAAGCACTGGAAGCCTAAGAGCTCATTCACACTGCATCCGTTGCTTTGCAATCCATTGCTTAACAGATACTAATGGAAGGGCACTGCAAAATGAATGGGTGTCAAGGGGACTAGTTCACACCACTCCATTGCGTTGCAATACATTGTGTTAAAGATAAAGTAGAGCATGCCCTTTTTTTAGCGCAGCGGATCCAGTGTGAACAAGGGATGCTCTACTATGCTAATATTGACTTAGACTTGACTTGACTTAATATAGACTTTTCTGTTGGTTTCTTGTTCAGATGGGCTGCAGTCTCCACTGGCCGGTGAAGCAGCGGCTGCCCAGTGTCCAGGAGGAGATACTGCTCCCTCCTGAATGCAGGTTTTTGGTTTCTTCTTTTTTTTTTTATCACAATAGGATTTTCTACTAAGTACCTACACTACAGTATGTGGTTTTAGCGCGGTACCATTCATTTCTATTGTCATGTTTGACAAGCGGGACCACCTGTCAAACGCGATATGCTATATATGTTTTGCTGCAAAGCATTACAGCCGTGGCAATGCATACAGCACTGTGCGGCTGCAGTGCTTCAGAAGGCAAGATGTATTGGCATATTAGAGCAGGGGTTTGGAGATCCCAGGGTGCTCGAGCAATTGGCTAAAGACTTGTTATATTTGGAAGACATTGCATTGTACTTTATCCTGGATGGAGAGGCAGATTTTAATTTTCAAGAGAACTTCAAACGACAATCTGCCATGCATCTAGGGAAGCCGATCTCACTACTCTCGTCACAAAGTAACACTATGTATCCATCACCAAAGAATTGTCAAGGGCACTCCGGGATGTACTTTTCTAAACTCTTTATTGATGCAATTCCACAAACATTATAACCAATAAAACCTCTTAGACCGGATGAATTTTATTGTTTTTAATCATTGTGGAATTTCATCAATAAAAAAATGTAGGGAACTACATGCCTGGTGTGCCCTTGACGATTCTTGGTGAAGGCTAAAGATATATGTACAGACACCTATAGGTGTCTGCTATTCAGTGTAGGTGTTTCTTTTTATATGGCGGTTGTGACAGGTTTATTTTTCACGTATGTTTACTGAGCATTGTAACAGTGTTTGTACAACTGAAAACCAATCTCTTAATTACATTTTAATTTCCTGGCTTATTACCAAAGAAGAGGCAATAAAGATGGCAAAATGAAATTCATTCTTGAATTGTTTCTTTTCATACAATATAGTCTGTAATGAAAACGAGTTTAAGCAGCTTTTAAAAATATGCTTCAGAGCACAGGGCAGCAGATTTATATATCACAGTTGAGGATATATTTGTGAACCTTCATGACCTATCTAGATTGCTGTAGTTATCGGTCATATTAAAGACGGTGTTATCTAACAAGACATGTTTTATATGACTGTGTCCTTATTGAACTAATGGTTTAAACAATCAAGTGTATTCATGGAAAAAACATGTGATACTTTAGGACCATGACACCATGAAAAGTAGTAGTTTGGTTATTCCTTACCTTTTGGGGGTTACTTTAATGTCTGATCTGCACTACTTTTCACAACAGAATTTGGTTATTGTGCAATGAGGTAAGATCAAGTTATTTTCGGGGGAACTCTAAAAGCTTGTAAGACTGTAAAGAGTTTCAAAAGTAATTCTAAAGACTTGAGACTTGTTCAGTTTACAAGTGGTTAGATAATTTACTATTGACAAATAGCACCTCGCGCCAAACCCTGTGTAGCTGCAAGCACTAAGGAAAGTTGGCATAAAACTTCAAGTAAGATGTATGCCCGGCCACTCTCTCTCTCTCTCCGTGTCACCGTATTTGCTTGGTGCAAAAACTGGTCAAACAGGAGCTGTGCTGCCGTCCATGCAAATGGGACAAATCTTGAGCACTTTATACATGTGATTCCACATTTGTGCACATCTGAACACGGAATATATGATTGAACTTTCCAGAAGGATATTATTTGAGATTTACAAGAAGAGCAATTGTGAACACTTTGATTGCTTTATTGTTTAGCACATATTTATTATAGAGATTTGTTTATTGTAGTTGAAGCGCAGCACATTCATTATAATTAGAGAATTTACTAATACTTGTTACTATCCTTATGTTGGGGAATCCTACAGTAGTTCGTACAAGGGCATGCCATGTAGCCCTCTGGCAAGAGGCAAAGATACCTTAAGGGGAAATAAAATACAAACCATCTACCAGCTGTGACACATGATTGGGGAAATATAACAGGGGCTGTTTTTGCTGTTTCATGTGTTAGACGGAAGACAGGGGTAAGTCTTCAACAGGGTGGCTAAAAGAGGAGGAATTCTACATTTTAGAAAGGCCAAGTCAATGCTGAGTTCGGTCCCATATAAATGCTTCGGAATAATTGTACTGCAGGCATCTAAAGTACAAAATCTCAAAAATATACACAATCTCAAAGAGTTCTGTATACACAACCAGGCAAGCACTGCTTATGTATGCACAGACCTGATCTGCATCTACAGAAAGCATTTTGGTGGGGCTTATTGTCAATAAAGGTGGTTATCGGCCTGGTTACTTAATAGAACTAAGTACTCATATGTGTTTAATGTTGTGTTTAAACTTATATATATATATATTCCATTTGTTTATTTTTATACGCAATTTTATAAATTAAAGCTATCCAGATTTGATAAAGAAGTAAGTAAGGGGATTGCAATCAGACAAGGCTTTCTGACCTGTCCAGCAGCTGCGTCCCCTAAGATACCTTAGCCAAGAGCTTCTGCTGGTACTTTAGGGACACTTATACCATCTCTTTGGGTGTATTTAGGAGCCATGTGAGCGAAGAGCCATATTATGCTAAGAAAACCCTGTATTGCTCCTCGGAGCCAATACAAATCCAACTATTACTTCTTAAAGGTTGGAATTAGCATGAATTACTGCTTGGTTGCGTTTAGAGTCCTTATTTTCCTCCATTTCTACTTTTAATGAGTCACAGTACATTACCGTTTAGTTGTAAGTAGCAGCTTTGTCTGACCTGAGGTCTCATTTTACAAAAGATCAGCTCCATGTATGCAATTTAGTTGCAATATCTTTTTCCCTTCCCTTCCACTCTTGCATGCTGTGTAGGTATCTGTCTATATACTTGTGCTTAACTCTTGCTGTGTCCCTGTCTTTCCATCCATGCCGCAGTGTGCTCCGTTCTGCTCACAGGTAACAAATCTTCCTTCCTGATTGGCTGCATCCCCTGCCCTGTTTCCAGTAGCATCCTTTAAACAATATTGTATATCTTCATAAACTTCTACCGCATTTTCCTAAAGCTCTGGCAATAAATTAGCATATACAGATGGTGGCCACATTATTCCAAAATTACTTTTTTTTTTTTTTTTTTTTTTTTTT